GCGGTCAGCACGCCGGCCGGGGGGGAGCGCCTCCGCTGAGAGGCACTGGGTTAAAAATCCAGCAGCCTTGAGGTCCCTAAAAGCGTAAAGGGAATCTAACATCCGTGTCCCCTGCGCCAGAAGTGGTGGAAGCACAGTGAAGGCACCCCGGCCTTACCCCTTAGAGGTCAGCTTGAGTCGTACCACTGATGAAACAGATACAAACATAGGAAGACCCTGGCCTACAAGCACTGTCTTGTTTAAATGCTGTGTTCATGCACTTCAGCCTCTCAGTTTGTCACCAGAAACTCAGTGCTCATTTAGATTACTATTAACTCATCGTCAGGTACGTAGACGATGAACACTCTCAGATTTTTATCTAGCTGTAATAACTTCATAGTGTACTTCCTAGTTTTAATACTTTTTAAAAATCTAGTTACTTCTCTGGTGTCTGGCATATTGAACCCCGTCCTGAAATAATTCACTACTTTGTAATAAGCTGCCCTCTTAAGTGGTTCTAAAAAACGATGTAAAAGTAATGTCTTAATAGCTAATAATCATATCTTACAGGTTTTTTCCAGTCCTATGCAGTGGAAGTAGATGTAAAGGATGATTCTAATGCTACGTGCCTGTATGCAAAATGGATGATGAGATTCTTGATAAAATATGAAACAAACAGTAGTGAGTATGTAAGTATTTGGAGATAGTTTTTGCTGAGAATTTTGTTTTGTCCTAGGTAAAACTCTTAAGTACACTCTTTTATCTAGGGTGTTCGGTTTATTTACATTTCTTCTTACGAAGTCAGTTGTTCTGAGTATTCCTAAATACTTGTGTTAAAACAAAGCATAAGTTCTCAATTAGTAATACAAATAACATAAAGTTGCACTTACACAAAACCCTCCAAGTTTGACCAATATGCCATTTAAGTATCAGTGGAGTAATATTCTTGGTCCAAATAGTAAATACAAGTTGCAGCTCAGGACTCACAGCCAAGTTAGATGTGTATTTGAGTCTGATACGGCTCCTTTCTAAGTCACATACCAGCCTTTTTCATAATTTTGTGGAATAACCCAAAATAATTTGCTAATCTTGTGCAGGGTTGCATCTAACTCCAGCCAGTTTATAATGTTATGGGGAAGAACTACTGTCTATGAAAATACTTTGAAGTACCCTTTTCTTCTAGAAAAATGCAACCTTGGACTTGTCATCCAGTGTGACACACAATGGAAGCGTCTGTGGCAGTGACTCCCAAGCTGCGCTTCTGGCGGTACAGTTCGGAGAAGGTCATTCCTGGAGCATTAACTTTACAAAAACTGATGAAACTTACCAGGGGGACTTTATCACATTTACGTACAACACCGATGATGCTGCTGTATTTCCGGATGCTAAAAGAAAAGGTAACGGTTCACCTTTCGCAAGGCTTGTCTAGTTCTGGTTACTTCTCTGCATTACTTAGCACTTTAGGTTGGGCAAATAGGTAAAGCATTCAAGAGAGGTTAGGATTGTTAAACTTCATTATCTTTGTCTTTGGAATTACAGAAAATATAACTCTACCTATAAATGTGTTTTTAGTTCATAAGGCATAAAGATATCTATTTATGTTTATTTGTAGGACCAATTACTGTTGTTGTAAAGGATACTATGCGTCCAGTCCAACTGAATAACATCTTCGTGTGTCATAATACTGACTTTCTTGAAGCAGAAAATGTAACACAGATTTTCTGGAATGTCACTGTGCAGGCTTTTGTTCAGAATGGTACGATCGGTACAAAAGGTGAGCACTTCAGTTTGTCAGTGGGCTTTTTTGTATTGCACCTTAGTGCAGGGAGCCAAGTCCCATAATAAATCCATCAGTTCTAAGATGTTCTGTGTTGAATAACAGTCATGCAAATATCCTTTAGTATGTCTTTCCTTGTTCCTGGAAAAATAGATTAGTAGAACAGATTTAGTAGTGTATAGTAATGTAGATTGTTCCCTCACCAAGGTGGTAATCTAATGAAGTGTGTATTCCAGTAATCAGGGATTAAAAATAAGCATTTTGGAACTGCTGTTGCTGACTGGATCATGTGAGCTTCAAGGTTTTGAACTGACTGCCTTCCGTTTTCAGTGGTACCCTCCGCTTTTTCATTTGAGCGGTCTGTTGCCTCATCTCCTAGCTCAGCTACTCAGGAGATGAGTGCATCGTCCTGCTACGTATCCCTTAATAGGGTTGCTGACTTTGTCTACAACAAATGCATATTACACTTTTATAATCACTTGGCTGTCTTTGTCCATGTGTTTCGCTTCCATGTGCCAGAGGTATGTAGTACTGCATATGCTACATGGATTTGAAACTGAGCATTACAGAATTTCTGAGAATAAACGGTAGTTAGGAATTGTTGGAGTACTGTGCCATAGTGCTGAGTTTGAGACTTCTGACTGGGTGATGAGCAGACTCCCAGTGAGCCTAGGTTTCAGCAGAGAAATCAGTATCGGTGTTGAACTGACCCCTGAGTCGTAAGACTTCAGTAAAATTTCAGTACTGAAATGGTGCTTAATTTCTTTTCAGAGTCTAGGTGTCGTGCTGATACACCTACTGCTGCACCCACTGTTCTGCCTACTGTTGCCAATGTAACTACTGCATCTACCACCACTGTATCACCTGCTCCAACCACGGCTCCCAAACCTGTGGAGAATCCAGACACAGGAAACTATTCTCTTAAAAGCGGAAATAAAACTTGTCTTCTGGCTACTGTGGGGCTGCAGCTGAATGTTTCCCAAGACAAGGTGCTTCTCTTCTATTTTGGAGGAGTAGAAAGGTTGCTGTAGTTACTTGGTATGAATGTGAGCACAGGGCATTTGCTCTGTATGCTGTTGGCTGTCCAGAACTGCTGTTAAGTATTGTATGTAGCACCCCTCTGACAGAGTAGTTTTGTGGTGTAATACTTAACTTTAAAAGCCTTGCGTGGATTCAGCCTAACTCGTTACTGGGGGTACCTCTAACATAATTACAAGCCTGGAACCTTCTTAGCTGTTAAGGCTGTTGGTCCCTGCAGATCGAGTCTTTCCCACAGAGGGAGCCAAAGCTAACCTGTTGTATGAGGTCAGCAAAATAACAGCTTGCTGTGCAATTTGTTTGCTTCATTATTACCAGCATGTAAACTTGAGAAGCCTTGGTTCACTAGTAGCCAGGTGTAATCTTCCTGCTGTCATCTTGATGACAAGCTTTTCTAGCCTAAGACTGCTACTGCCCGAAACAGTGTGTTCCTAAAGGCAGCTGCATGTTTTTGACGTGGTGTGTCTGTATTTCAGCCTCTTCTGATCAACATCAATCCCAGGACCACCAGTGCAGATGGTACATGTGGTAACACAACGGCTACTCTGAAACTGAACGATGGAAATAGCACATTGATAGGTTTCACGTTTGTTGTTGTAAGTAACTTCTTTTATACTGAGTTTCCACTTTAACAGCATTGCATGATGATCACTCCTAGCAAAATCCTTCTGTCACTTGCTGGTGGTAGGCTCTTTCCATATAGGAGGTGGAACTGGCTAGCTGACTGCCTCAGGACAAATGGAGAATTGGGTTAAAGTTGTAGAAAATATTAAGACTGTGGCAAATGCGTTAGCCTTTGTAAAGCATGTGTTTCTTAAAAGTGAAAAATGCAGAATAGCACACTGACGATTAGTTCTTGCTTCTTAAACAGAAAAATTCAAGTGCAAGTGTACAGAAATTTTATCTGAAAGAAGTGAATGTTACACTGCTCAACCGGCTGAATGGTTCGGGTAAGAAATCCTGTCTGCCTCTTTAGCAAGCCTAAGATTGTATTCAGTGTGTGTAGTTATCAAATACTTCTGGATTGATTTTTTTTTTTTAAATGCTGTTCATGTTTACTGTTACTTCCTACTCCAGGTTGTTTGGAACAAAAGTAGTAAGCAGAAATGTCTGTAAGAGTTACTTTAAATAGCAGTGTGGGATCATTCTCTTTCCTTGAAACTTCTGCTAATGGGCTCTCTTACTTTCTAATAAAGATATAAATTGAGAGCTTCTTCATAACTTTTTTCCATAACATATTATTTGAGGTGTGAAATACAGTTGTACCAACTGTAAAGCTTTTGGGTTTATTCCTAAACTAGCTGTTGTCATCTTTGGTTGGAGATGCTGCTGTGTCTTCCAACCACTTCTACTTAAGTCTCACTGGGAAAAGAGACCAGTGCTTCACAAACTAAAGCATACTTTTTTCCCAAATCAAAGTCTGGTTTGGTTTATTCTAGTCACTAGTCACAGCTACTGCAGTTAAAAGGGCACTAAAGCTAAAATACTCACAATGCTGCGGTGTTGGGGTGGGTTGGAGGGGCAAGGAAAGCCTAATGCCACATCTGTATGGAGGATAGGTTACTGCTAGGTACTCAGTGTTGAACAATTGGCCCTTCTAGATCCAGCTCCTTAGTCTTATGATTGTATTAGCAAGCTCTTGCACTTAAAGTGGGCATACAAATTTCCTAATTCCCTCTCCCCTTTTGTTTAGTCATTTCAAGTGCAGATAACAACAATTTCAGCAAGTGGGATGCTTTCCTTGGTAGTTCTTATATGTGCCGAAAAGAGCAAACCCTTGAGATCAACGAAGCTTTTCAAATACATACTTTCAATCTATGGATTCAGCCATTCCTTGTGGAGGCCAATAAATTCTCTACGGGTAAGAGTTCTTTTTTGTTAATTCTTGCTATGCTTGCAAAATTTCTGCTGGCTAAAAAGCATCAATTGGGCACTAGCACTTTCTTTTTGAAGCTCTTGTCCTATTGTTCTTTGGGGTTTTTTTAATACATGAAATAAAGAGAAGTTCTCACTGATGTTCAGGTTCAAGAAAGCTTTGTTTTCCCGTAAAAAATGTCTGCTAGGTATGTTCGTTCTCCTTAAAAGTTGAAGGAGCTAGAGACAGTGAAGAGGGACTTGAGCATTGCCCTGCAGAAGAGGTTAGAAGTTACCTGACATCATCTTGACATACAGCTTATTGTAACTTGAATACGTAAGAAGATGGAACAAAACTTTAGCAGAAATAGGGATTTGGTAAGTACTGTTAGGTGTTTGGGTTTTTTTACCTGTCAGTCTAAGGAAGAGGAGTGTTGGAGGGGAAAAGTGAACTGACAGCTTCTTTGAGAAGCAGTCTTGAATATCCAGAACTAAAGACAGATTTGGAAAATGTTTGTTTGCTGCATTATCCTGGTCTTGTCTGGGGACAACTGAAATGGTTTAAATGACCCCCTTCTCAATCTTTTAATGTAACCTGGTCTTTAATTAATGATAATACTTGCAGCACGGTTGTGTTAGACTAGCCTCATCTGTAGATCAGTAGATTGAGTGCAGATTTTTGTTTGTTTGTGGTTTTTTTGTTTGTTTTTTTTAGCAGAGATAAGTTAACTCCTCAGTTGTATGCAGGGTAAACAGTACTTATCATAATGACAGTTAGGGTTCCGTTTCACTCTGTAGTTCAAGTTGCAGCTAGCTTCCTCTTTCTCCTGATTATAGCTACTGCATCTGTAACCTGTCTCCATTCTGGATAGGTTCTTGATACCAAATCTAGGTTACTTTATTCTTCATGAGTAGAAGCACCAGACTTACCTTAAACGTGAAGTAGGTAAGCCTGGCTCTGTCTTAAAAGTAGAAGAGTTGCTACTTCCTTGCCTACTACAGGTCTTGTGCACATGAAAACTCGTACCCTAGGGGCACTTCCATCAGCTTGCTATAGTTTATCAAATGTTCCAAGTGATTATGATGCTTAATATATGCTAGATATACCCATGGGACCTCTGCAGTTCTTTCTCTTAGTTTAAAGATGTAATAATACTTGATTTTTGAACACCTCCATATTAAGGAAAACAGATTTTTATACCACACTTGGCAAGTATTCTGTTTTATTTATTCCTTGTTGCAACCTTTTTCTCATCTACAGCCCAGGAGTGTTCGCTGGATGATGACAACATTCTAATCCCAATTGTAGTTGGTGCTGCACTTGCTGGCTTGATTGCCATTATAGTGGTTGCTTACATAATTGGCAGAAGAAAAAGCTATGCTGGATATCAAACTTTGTGAATCTAAATGGGATTCCTGTTCTGATTTTCACGCTAAACAAAGCAAGTGCAAGTTCTGAAGTCCAAAAAAAGACCCAAAACTTAGGAGTAATTACTAGCCACAGCTAATTGGAGTTGGGAAACAAAGAGAGGATGTTTATCTCGGATGAAGCAGAACTACGGTTTTAGTTTTCCTGCTCTGAGAAGACGCCGTGGGTTTCATAGCTGTTTTGAAGATGTCAAATATTGGATGAATTGCTAGGCTGAGGATTTTATCTTGAAAAAATCCCTGAAGTGTTTAGGATTTATTTCTGCTTTTTACAAATTGTAGCCTGAAACAAGAACGCATTCTAAACTGGTATGCATTGGGCAACTCCCCGAATAGCATAGAATTTGTACTTGCTTCTCTCCTCTGTGTTCCTTAGTTGTTGTCATAACTGTGGGTGAAGCTGGCAGCAGCAGTCACTATGTTGACTCGTGTGGTATTTAACAAGGATTGTACGATGCCCAGTAACAACTTTGTTTTTCACAGAATTGAACGTTAGGCTGGTGATTAAGTGATCGTTTGAAGTGGGAGCAGTAACTTACCTAGCTTTGATGGAATTGGGGTAGTTTACTCCTGCCTTGGTGTAGTTTCAGGAATCATTCCTATACCCTGGCTGTACAGATGAAATGGGTAACTGGTACTTGCCAGATGGTGGACATATGGGAAGATTTCAGTGCTGTTTCCAAATGCTTTCAGGAAAAACATTACTGTTAGGCACTGACTGCTTCATCACTTACTGTACCTTGGCAGTCATCTGAAATACTCAACTGAGGCAGAGGTCTGCTAAATTAATGCAAGTTTTTTTGCAGACATCTGTTTAAAGGGAATAACCTTTCTAAATATTCCAGAACTTTAAAGTGCACTTAACTTTATCCCCTGCTCTGCACAGAACTGGTCTGTCTTCTTGCTTTGAATGACCATTGTTGAAAGATGCTTTTGTTTAATGAGCCAGTGTCTGTGGTTGCACCTTGAGCTGTCTTGAAATCTTCATTTCGAATGGTTCTCTGCCAGTCCAAATTCACATCGTAACTGCCCGCCATTGCATTCTGAATGTTCAGTGTACTTTGTTTGATTGTTTGCTGTAGCATTTGTTCATGTTAGGAATGCAAAAGCCAAGCAAATCTGAGATGGACCCACTACAACTTTTTTTCCTTGCTGTATGGAAAGGATAACTAGCTTAAATGCAGTGCAACTGGACTGTTTCTGAACTGCAGCTCTGTAGAGACTAACCCTTGCTGCACAACTCTCCTCTGGCCTCCTTGTGCTGTTATACATAGTTGCATGGGGAAAAAAAAAAACCCCAAACAACAGAGTCTCTTAGACTTTTAGGTAAGTGGCTTTTTTGCATATGTCCATAACATGAGCTGCCTCCACTAGTTATTTAATGAACATAACGGTGTCTCCCCCTTTAGAGTGAGTTGGTGTTTTATTAGTGTTTTCTAGGGTTGTAGAGATGTCTGTGGCATGTTTGTATACAAATCATACCCTTCTTTCAGTAACAGTTTGGTTTTTCGTAAAAACAGTTTACTCTCGCCACTAGCCAAGGAAGCAAGTATGGGTGGATAATGCTTACTGTAGCTTGTAGTCTACAGCTTGAATTCTGCATCAGTTACTGAAATTCACTTTAATGAAAGTGGGGAACTACTAGCAGTTTAATCCTGAAACAGGCTTCAAGACTACATTTTAATTAAAAAAAAAAGTGGATTTAATGACTTCCATATATTAATATATCCTCAAATGCAGAAGCTCATCTAGATTTTTAGCATTTTTGGGACTGATGTTCAGTGACACCAGTTAAACATACATTTCTGTTACGGGGTGGTTCCCACACTGTATTCATCTGACCATGTGAAACTTTGAGCTGTGCACAGTTTCCATGTTACAATGTAGGAGGTTAGTGCAAACTGCTCCCAAAATTCAACAATACTAGAAGTATCCTTGCAAAAACCTGCTTCATCTTCATCTGCAGGTGTATTGGCTCAGAGATTAAACTACTCCTAGACTGATGTGCAGTTAACTGGTTCAAAAAACAACTTTCACCTGACTGCCTGTTATAAAACCACTAGTTTTCCTGTATGTCAACCTGTTCAACATGTGCTCTAAATAATAAAGGTTGTTCTATTTCTTAAGGATACTTGTTCATATTTTTTAACTGATTTGAAAACAGACACTTGTACTGCGGGTTTGTGGGTTTTTTTTTTTTTAAGAAAATAAACTAAAGGAGTAAGGTGAACTTAAGCCAGTCTGTATCTGAGGTTCTGTTCTCAGCGGGGGAAGGTGCTCCTCCCAGGGTCCTCTGCTGCCTGTTTGATGCTTGGCTTGCAGCACACTGTGAAGTGTGCTTGGGTGCAGCCTGCTCCTGGAAGACAGCCTGGGAGCTAACCGAGGCTGTGTGCCTGGCTCGTTGCTAGAAACTGGCTTGCTAACTTCCTTGTCAATCCAGACAAGCCATCCCATCCAGACAAGATGGTTTTGTGACTGATTTTGCAGCCATCTTAAATGGGCGTATGGCTGTGTGTGGTTCAGTTGCCTGCAGTCGCCCTGGAAAATTAAATTGGTCTCTGTGTTCAGTAGGAGAGGGAAAGCATTAGGGAATTGGTTAGTAGCTTCATCCTCTGAGGCAGAAGCTGTGTTGATCCTCTCTTTGCTGCCAGTTCTTCTGGTAACTGTACCTACTTTCTGCATCAAGAGACACCAATCTTCCCTTTACTATACCTCTTCCTGGCCTGGCCTGTGAGCAACATGGTTGCATGGCAGGGGGAAAAAGTCTGGTCTAATCCTATACCCTTTCTTGGTTCCAGCCCACACTGCTTAGATAATCAGTGTGTTAAAGCCACCTTCTTATCTGCTGCCCAGAGTCAAAATAATGTTCACATCTTGCTGAAGTGTAAGCTGAGCTTGGATGGAGTTTTTCTAATGGGGAGAAAAACACAAATATTTTAAAATCTCTTGTTAAAGAGCTTTGCAGTGGGCTTCCTAAGGATGTGAATCTGAACTACAGTGGGACTGCAGGCATCAAATTCCTGTCACCTTACCACTGCGAGTCAGTCTGAAAGAGTCTGTGACAAAACTTGGAACAAGCAGGAGCACTGCTGTCCTGTAGTAAGTGTAAAGACTTCTCTTTTTGGTCAAAGCATTACTATTTTCACAGTAATTCTGTCTCCTGTACTGTTGTGTCTCCGGGAGACTTGCAGTGAGTATCTAGACACTGGAAGACTGGGCTTTGTGGGTTGTGGGTTTGGTAAATCTATAGTAAAATCTATAGTAGTATGCTGATAGATGCTTTTCAAGAAAGAATATCGTAGCATTCCGAGTCTGCGAGTTAGGATCTTTGGGAAGGAGAGCTATTGCTATTGTATTTTGGGGAGGGAAGGAGAAGTCAGGGTTTTGTGTATGGCTGTCTAATGTCCTGTTGGGGGAAGGCGGAACAGTTTTAAATAGTTAGAAGGGGATTATAGTGTTAAATACTTCTTGTTTCAGTGCATTTCTTTTTCAGACTTACCCTTTTTCTGTTCAGCTGAAGGTGCAGCCCAGAGATGGGCAACTTCATTGTACCCACAGCAGTAAGAGCAGCTTTGGGAAGGGTTAGTCGTCCTAGTGCTTAGCGGCTTTGTTGATGACAGGAAATGCTGTGATGCTGGCTATGGGTAGTTCTAAAATGGGATAGTTTATTTAAAGAAGAAACCAAACCAACAAAAATCTGAAGGCAGAAGATGGCCTGCTTCCTGAGTCAGGCGAAGGGTTTGTTTTTAACAAACCTGGTTAAGAACTGATGCAGAATGTGTTGTCATGGTTTCTTCGAACCTAACAACTTGGACAGAGTATGTTCTGGTTTGCGATCAATTGATGAATTAATTTCAGTTCTCCCCAGATACTACTTTTTTGATTTCAGAATATTAAAGGCACGCACTGGCATGTGAATAGAAGGTTTTGTTCTGGCCTGTGGGAGCAGCATTTGCCTCGCATGCGCTTGCGATGTTGGGTGCTGATGTGTGTGAGCTGTCACAGGCTGCGGCTGTGCGGTTTTGGTTGCTGTTGACTGGGCCTTACAGGCAGTTTGCTAAAGACTGAAATTGTGCTCTAAGATACCAGGATTTCAGACATTGTAGCTTAAAGATGCCATGCTAGTAGTCCTCAAAAGAAGCTTTTTCAGCCAATGAAGGCATTTGTGGGATTGGGTTTTTTAAAATTTTACCGCAGTGTTCTCTATCGTATAGTATATACCGATAAAAACACAACATTTTTGACTACGAGTTGTATCTCATGATTGGAATTAAAAGGGAATATAGCTTTTATACTGGGGCTAAAAATGTTGGGGGCCAAAATTCCTCGTTATTTTGAATGGAGGCACATTCAACCAAGTGTGACAAAGCTACTCCTGGCTGGAGCGTGGAGTCTGCTTGTCGTGGTGCACCGTGCCGGTCTGCGTTTGAAGACACTGCTGGGGAGCTTCTAACCACTGGGCCCTAGCAATACTTGGGTGGAAGTGTGCCAACAACACTGGCAAACTGGAGAGAGGTAAAGAATGGAATATTCCTTGTCAGACACGTTAAACCCTTTTTATCCTGGGAATTCTTTGTACCAGTGTCATGGTGTGGTGCGTATTGCAGCGATCTCCTTCCTTTAAAGGGGAGAGAGAGGGAATTTGTGTCGCTGCCTACCTGGCGCCTTTCATGCTTCGCAAATGCATTCCTGTTCAGGATGAAAGCCTCGTTATCCAGCACGTAGTAGTTACACTGAGTATATTCTTCAGTGAATGAAGATGACTAAACATCAAATGCAGTTTCTAAGATGCTTAAATACCTTCTCATTGGTCAGAATACTTTTAAATACAGGTCACCGTACAAGGTATGTATTTCCTTTCCTCTTTTCCCTTCCAAGTGTTGCTCTACTTGGCATTAGGTGCCTCCAGATTGTGAGAGTGTGGTGTTTTCAGATGCTGAACTGCCATGTGTTGTTTTCTTTCCTTGTGACCAAAGGCTTTGTATGGCCTTTCGTGAAGGGGCAGTGGCAGGCGTGTGCTGGACTGTAGCGAGCTCTATCAAGTCAGGAAGTATCCTGTAACTAAGGCTGATTCAGTCAGAGGCTCAAATGGTTTAAATACTCACTTGAAACAACAACTAACTTCTCATAAAGTACTGAACGTGGGCGTGACACTCTGCCCTGACATAAACACAAGCAAGGAAGTTCTATAAGAAGCTCTACTTTATTAAAAGTTAGTGTTGAAGCAGTACACTGTCACACCTTGGTAGAGCTCTCATCTGGGCAGCATGCAGGCAGAGCTCTGCTCTCTTTATGAGCTGGAAGAATGCAAGCCCTGACTAAGGCGTATCACCAAGTTTGAAATGGTTTCCCAGTGTTTTGTGCCAATCCTTGCAGGTTT